CACTTTAAAAATAGCGAAAACGGAACATCGCTAAGCGAAACAGGGGACCTAAAACTGTCATTGCTGAGCGAGGCAAGGTCCCGAACATCGCTATGCAAAATTTCCCCATAGGGAACATTGCTAAACAGAGTGCAAAATCGCTCAAAAAAACCCAACGCTAAGCGAATACATCATTAAACGAGGCAATCGCTAAGCGAGGCACCACTGTATCATCTTATACATGGAAAAATATGGTAATTCTGTCCCTCTGTGAGATTTTATTATAAATAAAAAAGCACATCATCTCATCTACCTGTAAACACTGGCATTAGTTACCATTTCAAAACAGTTGGTACAAATACATACAAACACTTCTTATCATCCATATGTTCTTATCGAGGAGTTCCTTTTGCACTGACATGAAAGCCTAATTCTGCTCAATCCCATGGATATTAAATGAAAGATATGAGTATATAGCTTTTACTATTTTTAACATTCTGTTTATTTGGCATGGCTGACTGGCTTTTAATTAGATATTTTATTTGATTCAGCTGGTACAAATAGTCTGACTAGTAAGCTTAGGAGGGTACTGCAGGCGGCAGCAGTGTGCTAGTTCTGGCTAGTGTGGCAGTCATACCTATTTGAATTTTGTTCATTAGGTTCTTTGGTCAACTATATTTACAACTGTAAAAAGATTAAAGCTAAAGCTTGTATTAGCATTAAAAAACTTTAACAAAACAGGAAAGTATTGAAAGTTGTTAGTTTCAAATCTCTTTTGAGATTCTTCTGGCATGTGTGTTGTGTATCCCTTCAAGAGAAACATGTTAAAAAATGAGGTGGCTTTTCAAATCAGTCTGAGTTGTTATTGTTTTAAAGGGTGTCAGGATAGGCTGGACATCTGGTTAATGCATTGTGTCAATACCTAGGGAATCACTATTAAAGACGCTGAAGCAATAAAGAGATATTTCTCAGTAACTGGGTCCTGTACTTGGTCCAGTACTATACTGATGCCTTCTGCTGTTTATTGGGAGAAGGGCAGGCTATATATGTGTGTGTGCATGCACGCATGTATATCTGAACAGAAGTGTCAAAAAATATCTGAACAGGTAATGTTTTTGAAATGAGCACTATAAAATTCTAGAAATATATGCATTCTTAAAACACGGGATTACTGTACTCTTAAGCAAAAATAGTTCAAATGAGTACGTATTAAGCATGATTTCGGAACAAATTGGGAATGATCTAGAATATACCAAGGGTTGGTTTGTATGTGAGATGGTACCAAGATTACAAGAATTTGTGGGTCCTTCTGTGGGTTTGGTGGATAATCAGGTTAATAATGAAGTTTAGAGGGTGGCCTTGTCCAGGAAAAAAAGTGCCTGATTTGTTGAAGAATGAGTTTGCTGGTGAGGTAGGAGGGCCTGTTTCAAGATTTATGAACCCTGTCATCTGTGTGCATCTACCAGTTCACATGAACCAGACTTTGGTTCTGCTGGAGTGCAAAATTCAGGAGCTAAATTACAATTAAATATTCCAGTCACTAAATGAGCCTTATCATTACCCACCTATCATTATGTTACACTTCTGTGTAATCAATTATTCTGACTTGGGAACCCTTCCCCTGAAGTTGACTGCAGGTTGTGATTACATTACTTAGTGAAGATGGAAAGGCAACCTTCAAATGTTCATCATCATTGTTACTACCATAGCATTTATTCTAGAGCCTGGGTTTACGGTTAGAAGCCCTGGACTGTGGCTCGGATTAAGCTTTTATTTTGTATTGAAATGAGGAGGAAGTATTTGAAATTTCTGTTCAGATTCTAGTAAAACATTCACAGGAAAAGTTCTTGATTTAGTCAGCGTTTAATAAAGAATTATTCAACAGAGCAAGAGGAAATGTTACAGTACAGTGGTGACTCGCTTAACAAGCGCACCGTTTAACGACGAATTCGCATAACAATCTATTTTTTTTAGATCGCCAATGCGATCGCATTGCGATGTTCTGAATAGGCAAAACATTGCATTGCGATGATCGGTAAGCGTTTCGCTTACCAATCTTCGCCTTGCGATGTTTTTTAAAACAGCTGATCGGCAGTTCCAAAATGGCTGCCGGGGGCCCAAAATGGCCACCACAAGTGTTTTCGCGCCCTGCCCTCGCTTACCAAGGGCGCGAAAATGGCGGCGCTATGGAGGAACATTGCTGAACGGTGAGTTTGGGAGCCATAGGAACGCATTAAACCAAGTTTAATGCGTTCCTATGGCTTTTTCCGTTTCGTTTAGCGATGTTTCTGCATAGCGACGATTAATCCGGAACGGATTAACATCGCTATGCGGGGCACCGCTGTATACATTTGAATCAATGTCTTAATCAAATGCAAAGAAATGAAACAATTTCTCAGATTCTCAAACTTAATTAATTTCTCAGATTTGGTTAG